TATATATATATATATATATATATATATATATATATATATATATATATATATATATATATATATATATATATATATATATATATGTCATTATTTGCAGTATCTTTGTATTAACTGTTCTATGATACCTTTTATAATCAATTCCCAAATAGTTTTTTTTTTGCAACTTATTTCTTTAACTTTTCAAATAACACCTATCATAATTAAAAACGTTGGTATTTTGGAATAGTGGTGTACCGAAAAGGTTCTCGAATTCAATAAATTCCAAGAGGAAGCTGGAATCTAACCATACAGGGGAGAGAAAGGGAAGAGTTGGAGCAAGAGTATCCCTGGCAGTACTATTTAATTAGATTATTAACATCCACATTTATTTTGCTTGTTTTCAAAAATAGCTTCACACAATCTGTTCTAGAGCTAAATCCAGAGTTGTTTTTTTTTTTTTAACTTCTAAAATCCAAATTCTTTTCAGTTTGTTTGGTTGTTTCCAAATACTTCGAATCCCTTTATGTTTTGAATGAATTTTTTGCAAAATTTATGAGTTTTCGCAAAAAAAAAAAATTTATTTTGCCATTCGTTTTGCCCAACAGTTCATTCTTTTGTTTAACTTAAATATGTTATCTACAAAATTTGTAAAGATATTTTAGTGGGAGCGCCGCATCAGTTTGTCCCTTTTTTGGTGATATAGCTGCCGATGATTCCAATTTTCCAAACATTGCAACGATCAGCATTGATCTGTGAGCAAATATTTTCAAGATTGTGGAACAATTTAGCAAATAATTTCAATATTCACTTTGTGTACTTCCTTTAAACTCTCAGAAATTGCATGGTTTAGGGTGAAGGAAAAATCCGTCATTCAGCTGATCATAGTTACTTGTAAATTATTACAGCGATCAGCGATACTTCCTGGATTACGGTACGATAAGCTTTAGTTTTCAGCGTTATACCTTCTAAGATATTTACTTACCTACTAAAATGAAGCCTCCATACGTGTGTACTTTCGCATTTAACCTGCGATATTTGTGTTGTATTAACAATTTTTGGCAGGAAATTTGAACCATCAATGGTTGATTGAGTAGAAACGAAGTTGTTGTGGTAGTTTATAATAATTTTTTGTGATCTTTTCTGATTATTGCATCGATTTCTCATGTAGCTAATGTAATTCTTGACGTTTCATGTAGTTTTTGACGTAAAGATTTGCGTATCCTCACGTAATTTCTGGAGTACTGTAAATTTGCAGAAATTTTGCAGAAAGGATGCAATTTGCAGAAATTTTGCAGAAAGGATGCAATTTGCAGAAAGGATGCAGAATTTCACTCTTCCTTTATCAGTTAGTGATACTGACGAAGAATTTGGTGATTCCCACAGTCGTTGCGTGAAATATGACCGAAAATTTTGATTGCCAGACCGTCTTACGAAATCTCATAATGCACGGAGAAATCATGACAGTGCATGTTTTCGGTATTGATTGGGAGGTCGTTCGTAGGCAAGCTTAAATACATAAACGTAGCATTAGGCAAAACTAGAATGGTAACGACATGTGAGTGAAAAGTAGATGAACGGTCGGTAATAACTGCAAATGTAGCAATGTATTTCGAATTTAGCAATCGGTTACAAGAATATCCTGGTGCGAGCATACATCGGATGCAGCTGCAGTGTAGCATGTTTTTTTTTGGTGGATTTTAGGCTTGTACCAAGGATAAACTGCAGTTTTCGTCGAAAATAGGATGCCAAGTTATTTTTGTGAAAATACCGCTTTATCGTTTTGGCCTACTGTAATCGATTAATTGAACTCTGTCAGTAATGATCATCCTCTGATCGAAGGAAAAGTTCATAGATACATATCATGAATTATTTGCAGTTGACATTGAATTCACATAAAGCTATAGACATCTGCGATTCACACTACGTTTTTTCGTGTGATCACCTGAGTGGGAGTGATGGGATCTCTGAAATATTTCAGGATTTAATACAGTAATACAGCAATGGTGAATAAACTAACAATTTATGATAAAGCTCAGGAAGATTTGCATGAAGTAGACATCTACCGCGATACCGCAATACGATTTCTTGGTAAGTTGTGGAAGTTCTACATAACTTCACTGTACTGTTGTCTCAGATATATTACAAATGGTCGGGACGACTAGTAGGACGTACGCCATCAAAAATAGCATTTTTTTACTTGTTTTATTCTAAAGTTCTTAAATTTCTTAAATTCATCTTAATTTTATAGATTTCATTTAAAGACCAGAATTCACTTTTAAGATTTCATGTTTCACTCTCAAGATGTTTGTAGTAGTACACTGGAAAAAATACTTATCTTGGTAAACTTGGTAGACTTATCTACGACAAACTATGGACTTATTTGTATGTTCAACTTATTTTACGTCATTAAGAATAATGCTGCTCCTTATTTGTTGCTTAGATTTTCGGAATCTTAGGCTATGCCAATGAAATTGGCGAAGCATTTCGTGCATGGATACCAGCAAATGCAGTACGATTATCATATGTTGTTGCAATGGGCTACGTTTTTTCTGACACAGCTGACAAAAGTCGAAAGACTTATCAGGTTAAATTATTCGTTTAACTTTCTAAATGATCCAATTATTTCTAGATCTATTTCCAATAGATAAAACGAAGCAGTCGAACACTTTGCATTATGAGACTCCTCGGGAAGCTCACGTTATAGTAATACTAGGTTCATAAAAAATGTATGCTATGATTAACAAATAATTTTAATAATTCATTTTTCAAATTGTATGGTATTGTTTGATTAATAATACCTTTGGGGAAGTTGATTTTAGTTGAATTATCTGAACAATAAGGAACGGTCTCGAGCCGTTGCTTTCCGAGCCATCGATACATTAATCTGGCAAAGTTTGGCATCTGTTGTCATCCCAGGATTTATGATCAATCGTGTTTGTTATTTATCCACTAAACTGCTTAGCTGGTTAGCCATTTGTTTCGGAAATTTATATTTCGTCACTTTTAGTTCCTAAAAAAAGTGTATCTTATGTAAAAATGTGAAAACGATGGAAAATATGTTAGGTGCCAAGTTATAGGTAAATGATATTCGATAATAGAAAATGGAATATTTTATATTTGATAACCCTAATACTTTTTGATCAACATAACATCTAATGGCGTGCTCTAATGAAAGTGCCAACCAGACTTTTTGGTCTTTCTGACATTAATCCCTCAAATATAACGATTTATTTCTTTGAAAATTTGCCATTATGGCATGTAATCTTTTATTCTGATCTTTATTAAAGTTACTGTAACTATTTGCATAATTTGAAGGTCAACAAAGTGGCCATTGAAAATACAAAAACTTACATCAACACTACTGGGATTATGTACTATCCCATTCATCGTGAAACCAATTGATACAGCTGTTGAGATAGGTATGGAGTCTTCAATAAGGAAGTTCTATTCGGCGGGAATTTACGAAAAGTAGTGGTTTCGATGATAAAAATGATGGTAATTTTTTCATTTAGTTTTCTCGAAGAGTTTAGTTGAGTTGAAATGTACACAATATCAAGTCTTAAATTCATCATTAAGCATCCAAAGCAACTTCAAAAGCAGCTCCTATACCTTTTAAATTCTGTTAATTGTAACAAGAACTAGAAAAAACACAAGAATCAGGACAGGACTTTGTTGTACCACTTATTTCTGTATTCCTTACCCGGATTATTATCAAAAGCAATTTTGGACAGCCTTCTTCAATACCTTGTTCCTTGCACTAATCGCAGCAGTTGAAATCCAACAACTGTTATTCTTTTATTAGTATTGTTTCTGTTTTTTTAATTGCAGAGATTACAACATTTTATGGTGATTTAGTGTGATCGTATCAGATTGTTTGCCCTTTATTCCTAACAACTTGTCTTTTTCTCAGATACGCTTGCATTTGTCATCGCTAGCACTGTTTGTCGCATTGAAATATCCGTAGAGAATAGAGATTTCAAGCCTTTATGTAATTCAAAAATATTAATTTTCTAATAATTGGATTAGTTTTCTGTTTTTTCTCATATTCGTTAGGATATTACTATTTACATGTATACTATGTACATTATTTCGAAAATGAATGTTTTTGTAATAAATGCAAAAATAAATGTTTATTTTAAAGTTCATTATTGCTTTTTTTTGATCTAGAATTCGTCATTTTCAATATTTTCTCCATTATTTGTTCCATAACTATGTTTATATATCTCAGTTTACAGATATCCATATGCATGCTATGGTCGTCGGCATTTGCATACCACGATTAGATGTAGTTTACACAGCCTTCACCCAAATTTGCTATGTTTTTAAAGCTTAGTTTTCCTGGTTATTCAGTTTTGGTTATTCAGTGCTTTTGCTTAAAACAAACGTTTTGCTTTTACTTCTTATGTCCTCAACCTAGTCTGATCTTACTAAGCTATTCTTATCCGTTTTGAATTTTTATCGCTTTTTGAATCATTCCTCTTTCCCTTCATCATTACGAGAAGTTACTGCTTCATCTTTCACTCTTAATTTGCATAAAAGCAGTGGTCATACGGACAACTCTAAAATATTGGTCGTAGTCTGTCGCTCGTCTTTTATGCAAATTTCTTTGCGTTTGCTAAAACGAAATTTAACGTAATTATTTGAAGGATAAAAGTGCAGCAGTCGTTTTGACAGTGTTGAATGTGATACATATAGCAAGTATTGCGGTTTTTTTCTTCATTTTTAACTGAACCGTACTTCAGATTTAGGTGAAGGGCAATTGCAAGTGAAAGGCAACTGTATTATTATCGTTATCGAGTATTCTTTCTTTGGTTAGAAGTTGGACAGTATCTTATATAATGATCGGGCAAGGATTTTTCCCCAGTCAGTATACGGCTAGCGGCGGGTATTTGTTTACATATTTATCTTATTTTTTAATTTAAAGCACTTTCAATTTTTAAATATGGGAAGTTTTGGATGACTTAGCTTTGCCCAAAATTGTTTTGGTATTTTGGGAAATTATACAATGGAACTGTTATTTTGATATTCAGAGAATGATATGAGGATAAAAGTTCCTGCATATCTAATCATTGTATCCACAACTTTTTAATCTTCTTACATCTTCCTCAATTGATTTCGTTATATTTTCCTTACATAGAAGCATATTGCCGAACATCTCGCAACTGTCTGCATTGAGAATGAGCTGAATTGCAGCTTATAATTTTCTAGTCCTTTACTTGCTTTCTGGGCGTGTATCAATTCAGCCTGTCAACCAGATCCAGGCGACATTAAAAACTGTCTGAATCTTATTTCAAATCTCTTCTACCTCGGTTTCTTTTCAATATTTTTATTATATTGTTTCAATGCTGTGAATATAATATTTCCAGTTCTATTTTTCAGTTCATTCCTACTTACCGAATTCAGTTTTTCAGCTCATGGTAATTTCATTGTTTCAGCCAAAAACTGGTGTGCAATGTCGGAACGTTTTTTGCATGCATAGTGGACTTGTTCTGGATCTAATAATAACTTTTACATTAATTTGTTCTATTATGTTCATTCGAAATCCTTATTATATTCATTTATTTGTCGTTCTTAGATTTCCGAGCATCGGGTTATTGGTTGTAGTCCTTCATTCCGATCGTCCCACCATCTGAAGGTTGCTCGGAATGAATTCATGCTAAGGGATGAGAAGACAATTCTGATTATGTTCATTCGTTTGTCGTTCTTAGATTTCCGAGTATCGATAGCGATATGAATGCAACATCGGATAACATCTGGTCACAACAAGGACCTCAAAATGAGACTGTCGAACGGTAATTTGCTATTTTTGCGTGTTATAAAATTTGAATGTTATAACAGAAACATAATTAGATTAGCAGTATTATATTACTAAAAATTGCACATTATATTACTAAAGTGCTTTGAGATCAAGTTGCGAGATGACTATTGCAACTATTCTTAGAATATTCCAATTCCATCATGTCAGTCTTCAGAGATGAAGATTTAGACCACTGCAAAATAGTAGTTGTAACTTGTCATCCATCTTTTTCTTTGAACCTTACTACTTTTCTTTTCAAGCTTATATTTGCCACTTATCTTATTCAAGCTTGTTCGTTATCTTATTTAATTTGTTGTCATTTCTTTTGTACTTTTCTTTGTAATTCATTGTCGTGATCTAAGAGTGGAAATAAATTGTTCTGAGAAAATGAATTATAAAATGAATTGGAAATAAAATAGGAAATGGATTGTTCCTCTGCTTCACTGATATCGCTTTTTCATCAACTTTGTCTTTAGCGACTTGTTCTCCGGCGTTAATTGTGGGATCAATTTCGACAAGTATGAAGAAATACCGGTTGAGGCAACAGGCAGTGATGTGCCACGCCCGTGCACAGTGGTAATGTTTCGTTCCTTCAAAAGCCAGTGATTTAGATTTTTAAACTTTCAAATGAAAAGGAATGAGTTTAAAATAGTGATATTGTGAACTTCCCTACTTCCTATATGTTTTCTCGTTTGCCGTCTATAAACATTTTATAGGCAGTCATTACCTTTTTGTCAACTTTTTTAGTTCGACGAACTGCAGTTGCATCCTTTGATTCAGGAAAATATCAAGAAATCAGGATATACGAAACCAACCCCAGTCCAAGTATATTTAATTTCCATTCACCGCTTGGGAGATTTGGAGATTTCGCACTTGTACTTTTGAAAATTTGTTAGTACTCTGAACTTATCAGTTTTCTCCGTTTTCAGAAATATTCTATTCCAAGTTTATTGAGTTGCCGTGACCTGATGTCTTGCGCACAGACCGGCTCAGGAAAAACTGCAGCTTTTCTAGTGCCAGTTATCAATCACATCATTCGAAATGAGTCGACTACAATGAGAATGGTAGGTAAATTCGAAACCATCGCAACAAAACTTACCTTTTTTATTAGTTAATGTGCCGTGTTTTTGATTCAACTTGTAGAATCTTAGTTTTTATACTCGATCTGCTTCAGCTAAATCTTGCTGAGATAGTCCGTCAAGGTGCGGTGGTGGTAGATATGGTCAATACCGAGAGACAAAAATATTTTCCCAAATCCTGAAACAAGCTAAAATGATATCGAAGTGAATTAAAGATGCAAGGATGTCTTCTTGAATAAATTAAAGAGCAGGCCCTTCGAACCTAAAATAAACATACGAATATTTTTCGGAAGTTAATGTTTGTTCTGTCAGCATTAGTATCATTGTTTGTTTTTCTATTATACTGCTTTTCTTTAGCTTATTTTCGGTTAGAAAAAGCAAGGTTTCCAGGCTTTTTTTTCCAGTACTTTAATCCGCTCATTTTTATCCTTTTTTTGGGCTTCTAATTTCCATCTATTTATTGAATTATTTGCAGCCACAAGTCATGAGCACCAGTCGTCGTACAGTATTCCCAGTTGTGCTGATATTATCACCAACTCGTGAACTGGCTATGCAAACTCATAAGGAAGCTTTGAAATTTGCTTATCGGACCAACGTTATATCTGCCGTACTTTATGGTGGTCGTGAAAATTATCGTGATCAAGTGCAAAAATTAACGGTATGGTGTTGGTGAAATATTATGATTTCGTAATCATTTTGTAATCACACGGTTTCGTAATCTCCGTGTTAATCATATAATCATTGTTTCAACCAGTTGAAATTTAGACTTTGAATTGGATAAACATATAATTAGATTAATTTTTTAGCTCGGATGCCATTTGCTCATTGCCACACCGGGACGTTTGTTGGACGTGATGAGTCAGAATGTCGTCTCCCTTCATGATTGTAGGTTTTTGGTACTCGATGAAGCAGATCGAATGCTTGATATGGGCTTTGAACCTCAAATTCGGCAAATTGTGGAGTGTCATTCGATGCCCAAAAAGGTTTTATTTTTTTAGTATTGTTCTTTTCATTTTGCGGTGTCTTATTCATCGTACTTTCTCTGATAGCGTAATCATATGTGGATAGTCGTGATGATACATCTTCCATAAAGAGATCGAAGTGTGAGCTATCGGTTCATTCTCTCTGTCTAATAGCGATTAAAAATGATTCAGGCGATTTGATACTTATGGTCGGTAGGCGCATTATCTTCAAAATTTCCTTTGATCTTCTGGAATATTATCTGGCTCGGTAGATTCCACAGTATGATGTTTTCCAGGGGTAAACGTTTTCAGGGTCAGCGCGTCACTGCAATGTTTTCTGCTACATTTCCAAAAGAAATCCAGATATTGGCACAGGATTTTCTTATGGCAAATTATGTATTTCTTGCTGTTGGCCGCGTCGGTTCAACATCTGAAAATATTGTTCAAAAAATTATTTGGGTGGAAGAGCATGATAAGAAGCGTTTACTGATGGAACTTCTCGATATTGATGGTGCTCCTTTCTATATATGAAAAATGTTATATATATATATATATATATATATATATATATTACATATATATACACATTAGTTATCGGGTTAATAATTATTACCTGCTTTGGGATTTCCATTTTACACAAGCTCAATGATTTGAGAAGAAGCTCGGTGAACTTTGGTTTGTTTGAAGATAAAGAAATAACAATAAATTCATGAGTCTCTTAGGTCAGTTCGCAACACACGCCCAATGCGACTTGTGCTCATCTTCTTAAGAGTAGTCACAAGATATATTCTGTCCAGTCATTTGTTTGATTCTGAATTTATCCAATGACTAAATCAATTCTTCTAGTGTTCGAAGCTAGCGTATGGCAGTATCTTGCTTGTTTAAAATTTTTGGAACTGTCATTACACTTTTCTAAAGCTTGAAGATCTGGCAACTTGAGAATAAATTAAGTTACTTTAAATACAAGCAGTACAATAGCAATCGTTTTTTTTTTTTGAAATAAATATTCCAGAGCTAAATTATACAATTTTCAGTGAACAGAGGACTTGCTTTAGTATTCGTTGAAACGAAACGGGGCGCGAATGATTTGGCGTGGTATCTTCAGCGCAATAACTACAATGTTATGCCCATCCATGGTGATCTTAAGCAATACGAAAGAGAACGCCATTTGGAAATGTTCAGATCCGGACAGACAAACATATTAGTTGCAACAGCTGTAAGATTTCTTTTCATACTTGCATGAAATTAAATTCAACAAAAAAATACATTCATTTACTGTTGTTGTTGCAGTTCTTATAGGAGAACGGATTCCTTTCGTATTATGATGTAAATTTAGGTGGCAGCCAGAGGTCTTGATATTCCAAATGTGAAGCATGTGATCAATTTTGATCTTCCCACTGATATTGACGAGTATGTTCATCGTATTGGCCGTACAGGGCGTGCTGGAAATATTGGATTAGCAACTTCATTTTTCACGGATCGAAATCGTAATATAAGTCGCGATTTGATGGATCTTTTGGTTGAATCTAATCAGGAAGTGCCGGAATGGCTGGAGAAAATGTCTAGGAAAAGCTACAGAAGCGCTTCTAAATATTACGATAGGACGCCCGGAGGGTTTCTTTTCAATTCCATGTTTTTGTATTTATATTTAACAACTATTTCCTGTTCGTGAAAAATTGGCGTTTCATCTAAGATACTTTTAAGGTACTTAGTGAAGAATTTCCTCCGAGATTCAAATACTGTCACAGTCTCTTTCATTGAAAGGGTAGGGTTGAAGCCAGAACGCAGTTATTAGTGTTATAGTAACCGATGACCCTTAATTAACTATTTCGGTCTTTTACCCATGCTTCGTTGAACTACAGGAGAAATACTATTTGATTATTTTCAGACGTTTTGGTGGACATGATCATCGTTTAAATACTGCAAGTAACTCATTTTGTTACAACCGTCCTACACCTGTTATGCAAGAGTTTGGGAAAGAATCGAGTTCTTCCTGGTATGATCAAACACCAAGCAACTTTCATTCATCGTAAGTTCTTTCTATAAATTTAATTCAATCTATAATTTTTCACGGTCTGCTCGTATTACTTCCCGATCCTGTCCTATAAATTTGGCACAGTCAACAAGCAAAATTTCACATGGAAAAGTTGTTACTGACTGTTCATATTATATAAATTAGCACTTATTAATATTGGTCTTGTCCTATCTGATGATGTAGGCACTGAACATAAAAGTTAAGAGTTGATTGAGGGCCGTTTTTCCATCAGCTTTATTAAAATATCCCACAACATCAGCTATGATTTTTAGCTTCAATCATGGTGATACTCGAAGTGCTTTTATAAGCACAACGTCGGCTACTTTCCGGAGCAATATGTATCAGGCTCCTCAGGCAGGTCGCATTTATCAACCACATGGAGATTCCTTTTCATTCATACCATCTGTTCCAATCAGTAGCATTGACTATTGGCGTGGCATTGCTAGCACTTCGCAGAGTGGAGGGTAAGTAAAATTCAAAAAGTTTCACATTTAAATAGCATGTCCATCTGATTAGTGGAGCAGATTATAGTTTAGTAAATAATGGAAGTGGGCCGTAATTCTATTTCTAAACGATGAAGTTTCAGTAATTAAATTTCATACTTCTAATTTTGTGCTGCTGTTTCATGTTAATAATGATGAGAAGAAATTTCAGGTTTTTTCGACCTGGTACTTCAGCTTATGGCGTACCTTTTGGAACTCAGGCATCACAGGCAGCTTTCGGTAATTGGCAGCGTTGATTTTATCTGATCTCTTTTGTTTTGTTCTTTGATCATTCATTGTTTCTTTCTTAACGTCTTTTTAAGCTCAAATTTTGGCTTAACGATTGCTACTTTTTAAGAACTTTCGTTTAAATTTAGTTTAGATTTTAGATTCGAGTTAGTTTTAAATTCGAGATACATAAAAACTAGACCTTTCTTTGAGCTGGTTTATTGAAATCTTAATCTATTTTAAACCGATAAATATCAGCGTTTTTCTGATCAAAGCAGTTGATTTCACTAAATATATATATATATATAACGCTCGAAAAAGGAATTTATGTAGTCATGGGAGTCATACTTCTTTTGTGTCCTTAGCAACTCTACAGCTGATCTGAGGAGTTTGTGGAGGTATCCTTTGAAATCTTCACAACTAAATATACACGCATGAAGAAATATGATACTCATTATTGCATGAATTGTTTAGGCTTTTCCAAGCATTTGAAAGCTCATTCAAAAATTCAGGGGAATTTATACAATCGATGGAATTAATTACTTTGGTCAAAAATATGAGGTTTTGGAGAAGCGAAAGATAAATTTTCCGAAGGAAGGCAGTATTGAGATGATCAGATTAATGGATTTTTTTAAAAATGGATAAATCTAAAATGGTTGAAATGCATTCAGTTATAGTCAGTTCAAAATTCATTTTCATGTATATTCATCTCATTTTCTCGTTATTTTCGAAAAAATTTCTTTTCTTTTGCATATTCATGTCAGGTTTCAATTAATTAATATCTGGGATCTCTTTCATTTAATTGCTTGTTAAATTTTCTTTCGTCTTCTTAGCATTTCCCTTCCGCTACTGTTATGGTGCACGTGCATGGAGCTCAGTATCATTTTTTGTTTTTAGATACCTCTTCAGGTACGATTCATCGGCTTTATTCATTTAAGATTTGTAATATTTGTCGGTCAATATTATGATACATTCCTTTAATTTACTGTATTATCACATTTTCATCAAATTTCTCAATTCTTTAAGAACATTCAATGTGTGAAGATTCCGCCAGAAATTGGTCATTACTTCTAGGTGCTGTATGACTCATAGGAATTTTTTCAGACACTCTTGGTTAATGTTTTAAAATATTATCAGTTGATTTGTTAATTCTTAACAACTGTCAAACGCGAGATAAAAAGACTTCTGAATTAGAAATTTAACTGATAGTAATTCTGGGATATGCTTAATGCTTATGAGAAATTTTTAAAAGAACGGACTGCATTGCTGAAATGTGAATTGAACAACTGGCTCATACTAATTGTATCTTAAACAGTTACACAAAATAGCATCAGAAATGACCTCTAGCGTATTGATCTCTGTATCTTATTCGCGCTTGTGCCTTATACGATGTCTATTTCTGATGTTTTAGGGATGCAAAATCATTCTACTTCATGTTTTGCTATTACTTGATTTTGTTCTCTAATAATGATACTTTAAGAGGAATTTTACTGATTACATTTTGTTATATGCTAAGGTTTGTTTTTTCAAGTGAGAGGTGTGACAAGACAGAACATTCCATTTTTCTTTTCTTTCTTTTTTTTAATGTTATAATGAAAGTGTTATTGAAGGATTTGAAGGAAATGACTAGAATTAATATCCTATATATGTTTTATTTTCACATAAGTTTACAGCAATGCTGGGTCCGTTTCAAAATATTCAGCTAATGATTTCTCGGGTGAACTGATACAGCCGCTTGTTTCGGTTTCAGTTTTGCTGTTGTTTAGATCGTTATCGTCGTTCGAGCTACCGGATCGTTCATCTCGTTGACTGCCTTCTTCCGGACTTACTGATGTTTGCCATGATTCTTCCATGGAATCACATGTTGAGCTGCATGTTATCTGGAATTCAATAAATTTCATGTGCAAGCTCAGAACTGAAGTCGTTTGCGATGGCAGGAAAGGTTGTAGGATTTTGCCATTCCTGTGAATTACAGAGTGGATTGCAAGACGTCCATCGAACTTGACTGTCCTTAAGTTTGTCATATTTCAGAAGGTGAGAAAAGATTTTTGAAATGTTCTAGTGATTTATGCAACAATTCGCATTGGGGGATTAAGTTAATCTTTTCCTATTTCTTTATATCAACAGCTTTTGCACTTTATAAGTTTTCAATGACCAAAAAATATACCGGTTCAACCGGTTCGATTGATTCGTGAAACGAAGTACTTGGAAGAGATGATACGTGAGATGAGTTACTGCAAACTTCACGACATTGTATACTATTACGACGAAATTTTGCGCGAGCATTTTGAAACCAAACCTGAAAAGTTTGACATTTTGAATAATATTCGATAATATTTTGATGTTGTCATATATTAATATACGAAGTGTTTGCATGATCTCTTAGAAGTGCTTCCCAGGCCGTATCATCTGTAATATTCATAAATATTAAATATCGATAGCATATTTTCATTGAAATTTTTTGCTTTCATTCAATCAAAACTTATTAAATGTGGTTTTTTAAAATTTGAAGAGTCTTAAAGCACCTGTAAAACCCTCTTTGTAAGACCAGTTCTTTGTGCCAATTGTTTCAAGTCTTTAGCATCCGGATTATGATTTAAATTGAAATAACTTTTCATTGTCCTCAGCTGGTGATGCTTGAAACTGGTACGCATCCGTTTTGATTTGTGCGTTATATTCAACGTTTCTTCTTCAATGCAATCTACAAGTTGATTCGTTTTTTATTGGATATTCCAATAGATTCCAATAAGACGGAGAAAAACTCTTAATTTCCCATCCTAATATTCACATCCCTTTGTCCATTACTGGATATCTGGGATATTTCTACGGATAATAAGATTGGTGACGAAGCAAAAATAGTGAGCAGATGGGAACAGACAAGAATCGGGGTTAGACACGAATGTCATCTTACGCTAATAGGCCAAATCAAGGTAGTTTAATTTTGAAAGTGTTCAATGTTTCAAAAATCAACAGTTAAATACCATAATGAGCATTGCTCAAGCATTATTAGTGTGTCTCCTTAATGATGGCGTTCATGGCTATATGTGATCAAACCAAACTTCCCGAAGAATGACTCACCGATTATCGGCCATTTAATCATTTATTTTGATTGCTTTTTAAGTAAAATTTGTTTGTAATTTGATATCACATCAAAAATACTACAAGAATTTACTTGGCTAGAAGGTACAAAAATCGAACCTCTCATCGTTTCTCCTTAATAAAAGACATTCTTAAACGTGTACCGTAGTACTAGAGGGGTTTCAGTCATTCCCCTAGAATGACTGAAATAAGTAATACTGCTATCTGTTTCTTGACTAAGCTAGCTTAAGCTATGCTAACCATTCTTCTTTTCAAGGAACAAAGCGGCTATTTGAGTGTGCTAACAAAGCGTATATTTTCCACACATCCTCCAATTAGCGCTCAGATACGGTAGTTATATATGAATCAGCTCACTCAAATGATGTCTTTCATAATTTTTATTGCATTTCTAAATCTTATACTTTCAAATTCTAACATAGAACTGCAGCAACTTAAAACATTCTTCCTTCAATTTCTTCTTTTTTTCTTTCCCTTTTCCTTTCTATATTTCTCATTGCTTCAAAATTATATTATCTGTTTAGGTTTCATTTTCTTTCTGCGAAATGATATGGTAATTATTAGCGAAAAAAAAATTTAATAATCCTCTCTAAACAGTTTTGTTCATCAAAAAAGCATGAAATTGAAAAAAGATCAAAGATTTTACTTTGTATTTAAAATATAAAAAATGTTTGATAACGAGTTACTTGAGTGATAAAATTTGAGTAAATAAAAGTAGCTTCAAATGAATATAAATATGATACTGTTCAAGCCATTATCAATGATTGAAATCCAAATTCCCGAGCTAGCCAGTGAAGCATACTGTCTTGTCATGTCATACTACTTTCTACTTGTCCACTAGTTTACTGCCAATTCAAACAGTTGACGATTGCTATCTGAAGTTGCTAGGGAAGGATGGAAGAATTACCCACAAATGAAAAAATCAATTAAAAAACACCAGTGCCAACCAATACTATCTGTGGTACTCTCGATGTCATCAGTTGACTTTTTCCACTTCCGACATCGTTCTTTCCCTCGTAGCACCGAAATCTCGGATGAATCGGTGGTTCGTAGAGAGCTATCATCACTAGTAATATTGATTGCACCAAAATGCACTGAAACCTGAATATCATTTCCTTACTGAATTACTGACAAAGTACATGTCACAATCTTTACTATCAAAATTTTCAAAAACACTTTTTAAAATATTTGAAAACATTTAATCTCATTTTAGTAATAATAATAGTTTGTGTCGCACGGTTCTAAATTACGTTGCTCAATCTGGTTGCTTAATCTTTGTAATCACGTTGCTCTATCCTTTCCAACCACTAATAATAGCAGAAGTAAAGAAATAGGAAATCAATTCAATCAATTAGTCAATAATTCCTTGGAAATCAATACAAGGAATTAATTCATTTCAAGTATTCTATTGATTCACTTGATTTCAAAATTCATTCCTTGCATTTTGATCAAAAAGTTTTGTCGTGATTCCAACAACAAAAAGTTAACGACATCGTTCATGTGATTATAAGTAGCCTATGACTTACGCAGTGAAGATGAAATTCCATCCGTTCATCCATCCTTATCATATCTTTGAAAAGGGATTCTTTTCGGAAATTTACAAATTTTCATCATTTATTTAATCCATCTATGGACAAGTACAAGGATCACATATCTATATCTCACTATCATTTACTTTTATCTTCTATGGTCTTAGTAAAATTATCAGCCATAATTTTTGTAACAGCTAATTAAGCTTTCTGGGTCTTACTCTCAAAGATTATCAACATTTAAGTCAATGTTAAAGTTTAACGTGACATTATTTTGTAACAAAATAAGCACTATGGATGTAAATTTTAAAAACTTAATGAAAAATAATGGAAAAGAAATAAGCACCGTGACAGTACAATGTCCCGTTACATCCCATCATGAATAATTCACTCGGTCGAAGTGGTGCAGAACAAACGTAACACGTGAAACATTCCAAATGAAAAATTGCTTCATTAACTCGCATGACAATATCTTCATCACATAATATGGCAGCACATCGCTCACAACGTTTACCGTATTTACTACAAATGATTTAACTGAATCTAAAGGTATCTCCATCAGAAAATATTTATTTTAACGTTTTTGATATGAACTGATAAAGAGAAAATGATTAACATTTATATGATGATATTTGGTGACCTCAAAATCCATTACCATTTAAGCTGTTCGATAGATAAGTTGTAAAATGGAATATACAACAACCAATTACATCAAGTGATAGAAGTTCAAAAAGTGAAAAAGGAATATTTGAACTACATAGTCAGCTTGATTTAATGTTAGTTTTTATTCATGCATGATAAAGTTATTGTAAGTGTGTAGGCATATGCGTTTACAAACGTTTACATAAATCATTATAATTAAATATGTTTAATGTTAAGTGGTAATGTATCATGTTTAGACTTTTGCTCAAATGAATTGAAATTCTTTCGAGTTATGATAACTTTTATGTACTGATAGTAAACCTAATAATTTCTTACGTGAGATAATCATCACGACAAAGTACCATTCCATCTTTGTAGTAGCAAGTTGATGTATTATGCAGTGAGCAGTGACATAGACAGCAACGTAGACAATCATAGTGCCAACTTTGTTCGTTCATCAACAGGAAATGCTGATCCGTAATGGGAATCAAACAGGATACACAACAACCTGTTATTATCAACAAATTTCCAAAATATGACATGAGGAAAGGACGTGAAAGACTACGTGAGAATGGTCAGTCGAAAAAATAGACGGAATGGTCATTTAATCGAAGCTTTACATATTTCTTACCAATTGTTGTTAACTTTAAATGTAGAACAAAAAGTTTTCGTTGTGATTTATTTCTTGAAAGGTGTTGAAATCACAAGATCAAACCAAAAGAACTCCTATCTACTTTCTCTGAAGGGTTACCTGCCGTTGCAACTTGGCATAAAGCGGTTGAAGTTGATGGAACGCTTGGAATTGGTGGTGATGATCCGGTTTGAGTGTTATCATTTAAAGACGACAAATACATCATCCGGAAATTAGCATTGAATATTACAGAAAGCAAGAAAAATGCATGAACAAACGATACGCATGTGAAACTAACATAACTTTACATAAATATTTACTGATACTCGTAAAAGATATTTCCAGAAATTACAACCGTTATACATATTTATTAGTCCGGCAGAGATTTATTAATTGATTTAGATCGTATTAATTTTTAATGTCATATATTTGGGAAATTTTGTAGGATTCTGTTAAATTTCCAGAGAATACATGCAAGATACCGAAATTATGTTGAAATTCCCTGACAGTTTTTGGCAAATTTCTAGGGAATAAAAATCCTTTTTATAACAGAAATGAGAATGAAGTTCAATAAGGTTTAAAAAAAAAACGACAAGCGAATTGATCCGGTATGAAAGGGTTATATGAGGGGTAGTGTACGGCTTTGCATGGATCGAAAGAGGATTATGAAAGTAGGTGTAACAGCAATTTTGCGCCAACAAATAATGGCTCAATCTCTTCCATCTCCTACTCTTAACAAACGATATCACGATGTTATGTTATTACTAACCAATGTTTAGTTGTGTTTATGTGACAACTGCGACATTTCCTTCTTCTAAATCGTCCTTACCTTTGAGAGCCAATTAAAGAAAACTTCAAACCTGTCATTATCACTACAAAAGCATATTGTTGACAAGAAGTCCAATCATAGATTATATTCAAACTGCTACAATTTTGATATGATAGAATAAAAGGGAGGAAGTTGGGGTTTGGTAAACAGCGTCGATACTGAGGATGAATTTTGAGACAAGAGGAAAGCGAGGATAAATGACCAGTTAAAACTCTCGAAAGGACACTTGAAAAGGAAGGATAATGTGCGTTGCAGCTTGTTTTAATGATGATAATGACCGGAACGGATTACAATTTGACACCGAGCATAGAGATGGCAGGTGAAAAACTGCTAACTATACAAAACCGAATTTATCTGAATTATTTTCAGTTACTGAAAAAATAATATTATTTTTACAAAATCCGGTGTGTTAATGCAAAGAGTGATATTTCCATTGGAGTATGCAAATTGCATTCAAGAGACAATGCAGTGACAATCAGCAGTTTAGTGGAACATGTACTGTTGCGCAAACATATAATAAACGAAAGTTTTAGAGAATTAACTACAAATGTCTTAGAATTTCACCAAAAAATATTAAGGAAAAGTCCCATTGGCATTGCTTGCAGTGAAACCAAATTATTTAAATAGCAAGATCTGATAATTACAACGATCAAGTACTACTGCGCTTATTACCAACTTTAAATTCTTGAATGTAAAGAGACTATATCTATCGATAGAAATCAAAGAAAAGGTTAAGCTACTTAGTTAGCATCCTTAATTTTAAACCTAAGGAAGTTTTTGCTTCCCACTTCTTTTATTACGGTAAACAGTTAAATCAACTTCACATTCTTCCTGATCCTTGACGAATGATACATCTGGCAAAGAAACATAAAATAGTCCCAAACATATCCGAACTTTTCAACACATTGGCAAATTTAAGAGCATCATAAAAATTCGTTTACTCTCTTTGATGGTATATTAGATAGTTTATGACACTGTAAATAACCAATACAAAGCTAGTTTTAGAGTTTGTCCATATACATTGATTAAGCAAATCCTATCTCGTGCTGTTCTTTTGCTGTCATATAAATGGACATCAACACCATACTGGTCATTGGTGGTCAAAACACGAAATACCATTCAAAGATTACGGAGAACTTGAAAAAATTTCTCGACCAGACCGGCATTGCTTGGAGATTAACTTGTAGACTTTATGTTGCCTCACGAAACTTTTCTTGAACATTTCTACAATGCCGTATAAAGAAAGATTCATTACCGAGTAGAAAGTTAAAAGTTTGAAACCATAATTTTAAGGAAGAAATACAGTATCCAAAGGCTGTAAACGAGCAGATCAAACAAATATTGAAGAGGAATGGTAAATTTGCACTTATAATTATGTCCAATAATAGCAGTCCACAAATGCACCACCGGTGCAAAGATGTGGTACAAAGAGGTTGTCGAGTACAGCAGGGGTCATGAAGGTGAAATGATGATGGGATGACCTCGTGGCAGGGGTCCGTTGTACTGCTTTTGCTTATATTCAATCTTCACTTGGCTCTGTTTTTAGCTGTAATTTCCATAAATTTTTTTCTTTTACCCTTCAATATAACCAACAAAGCATAGAAGTATGGTAGAAATAAATTAAAATTAAAACAAAATTAAAATAGAGTAATAAAGTCATTTGAGTTTATTGTCGCAAAAGGAAGAGCTGAATAAGAAACATCAATAGGATGACGAGAAAAATATCATCCCGTTCTCCAGAATATTGTCATCGCGGGACTGTGATGAAATGAATTAAGTGTATTTGGAGAGAAAATTCAGTGAAAGCTACAAACAATTGCGCAACAAAATGGCAGCATTTAAGAAAAAGTATACGTGGATATAGAGGTACCGTATGCTTGAAAGATGATAGCACAGCATTAGATAAATTGTGATTGGAAGAGTAGCCAGAATGAGGTGTAAGTTGCTAGGAATAGCATGAAATGGGATGTGCATTATCCTGGCCAACTGGACTAGCTAGTCGAAGCGATGATACTCAAAGAGGCTCTATGAAAGAGCTTCATGCCAAAGTGAAATGAGTAGGGATAAGCCGACGACTCTGGGATACCTTGTCATTAATGAGGCTCCGCACAAAATATTGTATCAACAGATAGATCCATCATTCAACGATACTTGTTTACGCCACAGGTACTATCTGCGCCACTCTTAATCTTGATGATTCATATTAAATATGAATTTTTCATGAAACATGAAATTTCACTTTTTCAAGAATAGTAGAATTCATTGAGTTTGAAATGAAATGCACATTTCATTTCATCACCCATTTTTGTTTTTGTTAATAAACAATGCAAAAAAGAATGGTTACACCTGCTTATTCGTTTTCTTTATCATCAAATTAATAATTAACTGAAGAAGATGAAGAGCACAGGGTCAGGTTTGTGCATGTATTCTGCTTTTTTTTCTTTATAATTATTGCTACAGTAATAGTTCATAAGAGTGAATGTTTAATAAATTGTGGAATAGTCTCATTATCTGAATTTTGCGCATATTTAAATTCAATATTAGCAGTATTGAGGTTTTTGGTAATGTAGAATATTTGATGGAATAGATGAAGGTTCCTTTTGAAATCTTTTGTTGCTTTGATGATACAGCATAAAGTTTAAGGATCATAAGGAAGTTGTAATTTGGAATAAGAATTTTGAGTTTGGAAGGAAATATTATTTTTTTAAATTATTTTGTTAAAATTTATTCCATATGGACGATATTATATAAATTCAATTTTTTCGTTACAATTACATATCTTTACTTAATATCGATTCATTTGCACTAAATAAACAAAATATACACATTTAATGCAGTTTTCAAATATCACTAAATGTAGCTAAGGTAATTGAAAAATATCAATTCTATGATTTAGTGATATCATTTATTATGATGTAAACAACGATTTTATACGATCCTTTAACTCAACAGTGATTAATTTAAGATCTAAAAATGGGACTATAGCGCACACATTAGAAGTATTAGTTTTTGTAGAATTATTATAAAGTTCCTGATTAAATAGTTATGAATGTGATGATGATATGAGTACAGATGGCTTTTTTCTCTTCACCAATAAATTATTGCTCATAAAGGTTAGCTCACTTTTTTTTATCTGCGCCAAAGACTTCACCGCCGACACCAGCAAGAGTCTGAAAAAGAATTAAAATGAAAAGAGGAAGGTAATATTGCTTATTGTCTCATTTTCTTCGTCACGAAACGATTGGCTTAGTGAAGGTAGATTGAAATTGACTAACAGCACTTTTATCTTTTTGATGAAGAGAATAGTAGCAAAGGAAAAGACTTCCTACTTAAGATCATTCAAGGAATGTCATACTTGATAGTTGGGATCAAATGTGCCGGCTTTAGCATCCTTATTTTCCGGAACTCGTGGTCCTGCACCGCCACCACCACCTCCAGCTCCTTTCTTATCTTGTCCAAATACATCACCGCCAACACCAGCTAGTGTCTGATAATTGGGATCAAATGTTCCTGCTTTAACATCCTTGTTGTCAGGAGCTTTTGGTCCACCACCACCACCGCCACCACCGCCTTCTTTCTTTTTATCTGCCCCAAATACTTCACCACCAACTCCTGCCAAAGTCTGGAATATTTTATTTGGCATGAATGATATAATTCAACAAATTAAAACATTTAGAGTAGAATTTAGAGACATGTAAAGTGGAAATTTAAAATGTATTCCTCATAAAAATTTAAGAAATTTAAAAGCATTAAAAATAAGACTACTTACCTGATAATTGGGATCAAATGTGCCAGCTTTTTCATCTTTGTTAGCAGGAGCTTGCGGACCAGTACCACCACCACCACCACCGCCTCCACCAACACCACCCTCTTTTTTTTTATCTTGACCGAATACATCACCACCCACACCAGCTAACGTCTGATAGTTTGGATCATAAGTCCCTGAAAATTTCTTTAAAACTTTCTGATGATATTAATTTACCTTAATATTTAAAACCAAGTCATTTCAAACGTGAAAATCCTTTTAAAATGCACGGACAATTAAACCCACCAGCCATTCCACCGCCTGCTGGCGCTTGTGGTCCTCCACCGCCACCACCACCACCACCACCACCACCGCCACCGCCACCACCACCACCACCACCACCACCACCACCAGCAGTACCGCCAAAACCAGCGTCTTTCTTTTTATCTTCACCAAATACTTCACCACCCACACCAGCTAATGTTTGATAGTTCGGGTCATATGTTCCTAAAATTAGCTAATTATTTTCATATTTTAAAAAAAGCGCAAAAGTCCGAATGCAGTATTTTTATACAAAAGCTGCTATCACATTGATATAACTTAAGCCCTAAGAATTGTCTTTTTTTCACAATATTGTTAGCTTATAATCAAAATTCTATACTTTCTCTGATATTAAAATTAGCATCCATGTATAAACTAACTTACCGGCCATACCTCCCTGTCCAGGTGCTTGTGGCATTTCTACAGCAGGAGGAGCAGCACCGCCCTGAGCAGCACCACCCTGAACAGCACCACCCTGAACAGCACCACCCTTAAATCATCATATTATTGATTTCAAACTTCACGTACCTTATCATATCATGAATGGGAAATCGCACTTACTTGAAAAAACAAAAGTCTAAAAAACTACTCATTAATTAGTCAATCGATAATTGGAAACAAAACAGTTAATGGACTAAGAGATCAATCAGTCCAAATGACACCTGATAAATTCCAGTAAATCTGAAACTTACCTGATTAAGTTGACCTCCGTCTGCAGCTGCTACAAATCCTGGTGTCTGCGCAACTGTAATTCAGATTGATCAGTTCTAATTTTTCAATTTAAAATCATTCAAGTTATCGAAATAAAAAATTTGATTTCATTCGATGCAACTTTTTCGATTTCCATAGAATTTAGCTATGAAAATCGAAATTTTCTACTCAGCACATATTGCTATCATCAGTGAACCGGACACTCTAATATTATCCATAACAGTTTTCACATCCCTAATTATTATAGATTTTTAAACCAAATAAAAGAAAAAATTAATTAATAAATGTTCATAACGATTATAAAACTTCATACCCTGTCCATCAGTGATTCCTTTTTGTTCTCCCGGGACTTTTTTCTTTTTCTGAAATAAAAAAATTAGCTTGAAAAAAATTATAATTAGCTATTGTAACTACTGCTAATTAGCATTTAGTAAAATTATCATTAATTTAAACATGATTTTTTCAATGTAATTCACTTAGGAAAGTAAACAAGAACAAACAGATAAGTAAATAATGACATTAAGAAGTGTAAGTGAAAGTGATGGATCGTTTAATGTTAGTGCCATTTATTGTTAAACTACGACTTTTACTAATTTCATGATTACGGTAGTTGTCTATTCGCATTAAATTAGCCCAAATAATGTTGTCGATAATTTGAAAATTGGATAAGAATATCATAAAAGCATATTTCCATACAATTATTAAATCAATTAATCAATTTTAAAGAAAGGAAAAAAACTTTCAACGAACCTCACGAGGAGCCTTTTTTGAGCCGCAGCAATTAGTAGAATAGATTATGGCAACGTATAACATTAATACAAAATGCAAAATCAAAAATATCGGCGATTCAATCAATTTCAATTTATCCATCGTTATTAATACCTTTCGGTCTCTTTCCTATCTGCTTTTTTCTTCGTTACCTATAAGATAATAAGATGAGATCATTAATGCGGTTGAAACGAAACTTTGAAAATGAAGTAGGAAGTTTAGAAATGACAAGTTTCGCAAAAATTTAATATCGCCTGATAAAATCAGTGACACTTTTCTGAAAGCCTGTTTCGTCGAACTGACGGCGGTAATCTCACTTCAAGTTGAACTGAAATAACACCGGATTTCCCGATACGGTTTATCCTAGCCTTATTATTTTGGAAGATACAAAATGCCAGTAACCCAATTAATCACCGTAATGGCAAAAGGATGCAAAAGGATTTTGCTGCTTTACGCTGTATTTCTAATAAGAATAACAAATTAATTGTAGAATTACAGTTGTTTTATTGCTTTATGCAAAATTCCAAATTTTGAATTTTGCATAATATCGTGCAAAAAAAGCTTCATTCTAAGGAATAAAAAAAAAAAATTAAATATAATTATGAAGCTTTGTTAAATTTAAATTTAACTTAGTCAAATTAAATTGAAATGAATTGAATCAAATCTAATTAAATGCGATTTAGTAATATTCTGTTGCTTTGCAAATGACTTTCTAGTATGATTTTCTATTAATGTTATATACAATGTATGACAATTCGAACGACAATCTTTGCTCTATCTTTTATCTCCTAAGTGATAGAACGGATACTACAAAACATTTCC